GGATACAGACAGGAAATGTGGATTTGTTCTATATTGTAGCCACTTGGCCACTCGATGCCCTTGTGCATGACAGTCTTGAGAGTCCATAAGGATGGACATTGGAACTTTATAATATAGATGAAAATACCGCCATCTTTCTGCACAATGGTGACCTTATATGGCGTATGATAGATCTATTCAAATACACATTTAATTGGGCTGGATTTTAAAACGAGAAAATGTCAGACATTTTCAGCTTTTAGTATTGACAAATTTAAACAAATGTAAATTGTTAAAAGTAGCAATGCTTATATCACATTTGAAATAAAAACAAATATTTTTGTCAAATATCTGACTGAGGAACATCATATAATGCAGAAACAGAATAAAAAAGTGCTATCACTGCACAGAAGCATAACAAGTGGCATTAACAGCAACTAATAACACACTCTCTCTGTCTACCAGCGTCTCCTTCTCTCCCTTTCCCTTCTCTGTACCCACACACGCACATACCTCCCCTCCTGACGTCTTCCTCTGTGGTCAAGTGTTTAGGAAAATACAGGACAAAGCTTTATACAGTCTATGGCAGCAACAGTCAAGTTTACAACAGCAAAGTCACCATGTAAACTCAATAATACCGCAGTGAAAACAAATCTGACATGTCAGTGAAATAATGTTACTCCAGACATCACAATACTGAATGAAAAAAGTAATGTTATGTAAGCACAAAGAACACAGACATCAGTATCAGTCATTCATCCTGCTTTCTGTTGACCCTCTACCGAGGAGACTCACTGTCTGCAGGTTGTACATGCTGAATGTACTCATAAAGTTGCCTATTGGCTTTTTACTGGCGAAGGTTTTACTGCACTTAGGTACAGTAACAAGCGTAATTTTTGTCAACTAGAGTAATCATGAAGTTACATCACCTTCATTTGCACCGCGACCTCTCTACTGTTCTCTGACCTCACTCCGTGTCGTGTTCGTGTGTGTCTGAGTGTGTGTGCTGTGTGGAACAGGCTGCAGCATGATGCTACATGAAACCAAAACTCAAAAGCAATAATAGAAGAACAGATAACGTCAGAGATCATTAACACTACGGTCTTGATTAATTTTTCCCAGCACTGGGTCTCAGTACTCATCCCTAGCCGGGCTACTCGGAGGTTACTTCTGGGCTGAATGTGGCCCGTGGGCTGCCAATTGAATAGAGCTAGCGTATGATTTTCTTCATCTGTTTTACTCAAAAAAGAATGATGTGAAACAACATTTAATGCAAACATTCTGACTTAATTAAAATGATTTTCTGTTGAAGACAACCATGAACTCATCCTTGTGCATTCCAGCTCACCATATTGATGAATCTCTTCCTCTTTATTCACACAGGTAGCCACCAAAAGGGCTCAGGCTTGGTGTCAGAGTAAGAACAACATCCCCTACTTTGAGACCAGCGCCAAAGAAGCCATAAATGTAGAACAGGCATTCCAGACAATTGCACGTAACGCCCTCAAACAAGTGAGTTACAGCTGCTTGAAATGAAAAATTAAAGACCGTTAAGATGAGTGCTTGGATATTTGCATATCTCAGTGCATGAATAACTCAAAACCCAGTCTTTATTACTTTGTCAGTCTGATTTTCTCTTATGTTCTCTCATTTGCTGCGTTTCAGGAGACAGAGGTGGAGTTGTATAATGAATTCCCGGAGCCCATAAAACTGGATAGGAATGACAGAGCTAAACCTTCAGCAGAAAGCTGCAGCTGCTAAGGGACAACTTGGACCATCTCCTCTCTTGGCTTTCTGAAACACCCTGTCACCGGTTACATCACCTGCACCTTGCTCCCAGGGAAAAGACTTCCCTACTGGTCTTCCTCCTTCGCGCCACTGTTCATTCCATCGACACAACCCCTCACGCAGTACGCTGCACATGGATGTACCCCACACACACTTAGAACACAAATTAATATGCTAGTGTTCACTCGCTGATAAATCCAGTGCCCAAAGATCACACAAGAGAAGAATGACACCCCCCCTTTGACCTCACAGCCCCCCCGACTCGATAGTGAGTGACCTCCTGTCCTGCCCACCCACTCTTCTGACTGTGGCCCCTGACTCTCACACTGAGGGGGCGCGATGGTGCCATGTTCAAAGAGTGCAGTTGGGAACACTAGATGGACCGGCTGAAGCTCTGTAATGTGAGATGATGTTGGCTAATGTCAGCATCCCAAGTATCTAATTCTCTCTTTCTGTTTTCTCTTTGCTTTCTATTGCCTAGCTGTCAAGAAATAATCAAGTTGAACTTTATATATATATATTATATTATATATGTATATTTTAATTGGCTTATGGTATTTCTCGAGCCAATGTGAAACACATGCTTGTTTTTTTGCACTTTCTTTTTATGTTTTTGCCTTTAAATATTATAGCGGGATGACTGATTTTGGGCAACGTCTGCTACCACACGCCTTTTGGTAAGCTTCAAATTATACCTCCTCACTCGTTTTCCATGTCAAATATAATCCCTGAGAATTTGTGGAACACTTTGGTGATTGTACTGCCTTTTCCCTACAAGGTCGTGTGTTAGTGGGTTTATAATGGCCTCACACTGCAGAAGAAATGTTCCTTAGTAGACTTTAAGTAAAAGCTGATAACGCAGTCACAGTGTAAAACATGGATTAATTCCTTGATATATTAATATTTGCCTTTTATGTAACATTACTTGTACTGCTACTATTACTGCTGTATGTGTTATGTCCTTCATCAGACATCTTTCAACGCTTATGGAATTACAATACGTGTCACCAACACAGCATACACCTGTCTTCTGTCATGTCTTTGTTATTGCTGTTCTCTCTATCTGCTTGTAGCTCAGGTTGGCTAAGTACTTAATATTTTTAATGGATTGTGCATTACGGTGTATAGATGGTAAAGGTTTATGGATTGAACTGAAATGGATGTTCTCTCTTTCCATTTAAAGAAAAGATCCAACTTTTTGCCCTGGTATTACTCCTTCTCCTTATAGAAAAAAAATCACTGCGATGCCAATGATGTTGTCAAAGAAAATTGGGACGTCAAATAATAAAAATCTTGAATATATCAATGGTCTAACAATGTCTCATTTCTTTTTTACTTTCTACCTAATTTCTTACAGTTTTTTTAGTACAACCAATTTCATTTCTGTGTTTTCAAGCTTGACTTGAAACATAAAACGGGCCTCTCTCAGAGCAGACATTTTGACTTGTCATAGGAAAATCAAAGGTGTTACCAACAACACTAACAATGGATCTTCTCTAGTCAAGTGTTGCAATAAGTTGTGACTGAGCCAACATGCATCTTACCTGAACCAGAAATCAGAAAAGCTGAATGGAATTCAGCCATCATTAATTTCATCATATACACCTGTGCTTTTCCCACTGTGACAAGTCAAAAACTTCTTCTGTGACAGTTTAACTGTGTGATGCTATGCTTGGATGAACTGCAGTGTTTAAAAAACGTGGTACATCCCTCCACACAGGTGTTTCACCACCTTTAGCAGGTTCCACTCAGGACTGTGAGGGTGTGCATGCAAGGTGCCTGACTGACAACCTCCTGACTCTCCTATTATGCTGCGTTCAGTGGAGCTCATGTTTACGACATGGGAAGTTGTGAAAATGAACTTGTGAACTTGGAGCTCTCAGAAAATTTCCACTTGCCAGATCATGAATACCACATTGAGGGTGTTCATTTACACTTTTCTCATGACCACGGTAAACACGACCCCATTTGAATACAGCATTAGTGTAGCTGCACCTTCACCTGTAAAAGTTTTTGTGATTGTTTTGAATTATATGGAAGTGGATGACTTTGGCAAACTCAATTTAAATCAGTGGTTCTCAAACTCTTTCTGTCATCCCCCCCACCCCTGAATTTTTTTTTTATCAATCATTGACAATAATTGGGAAGCAACTAACAAAACTGGATCCATGTTGATTTTTAGTCAAATAAAGGCCAGTGTGATAGCATCAGCAAGCTTCATTTATTTTCACTACATAAATCATATTCATTCAGCTCAGTTTGACTCCATATTTTTACCCTGGTCATCCATGCCCCACCTGTAGTGGCTCTATGCTCCCCCTCAGGCTGGGCACGCCACAATTTGAGAATGACTGGTTCAACTTAACTCCTTGTTTGCCCATATAATTATCACTCAGTGGTTTACTGAGTAGTAATATAATATTTCCCTTACACCACAGCATAGATCCACCTAACTTTAATGTCAAAATAGGTCAAATTCGCTAGGCTAATTGCAAATGTTTAAGTTTGCATGGCCTTGAAGAATCTAAAAGGACTTTATACACAGTCAGGTTTGTTATTGTGGCTGTAAAAAAAATCTAAATTCCATTTTCTTTTTTCCCCCTTTTTTTTAAAGATTTATTAATCTGCAGGTAATCACATTTAAGTTATCAAGTCTTTTCAATATCAGAGGCATCCTTAAAAAGCACATGTAAGCTATAAAGTGTGTGAGTGTGATCATAGCATATCCTCCGAGATTGCCAAAAAAAGACTTCTGTGTCCCCAGTGGTGTAGCCACAGCCCTGCACAGAGCCATGTACATTTCTGTGTGCTCCATGAATCAAACAGAGGTTGCATTTGTGGGATGTCAATAATTGACAAAAGTCATTTTAGCACACTGAGCCCAGATATTACACCATCTCATCATTACTCAGTTATCGATTTAATAAGAATTAGACTGTTGGCAAGGCTAACACAGAAACTCAAACTGAAATGTAGAACAACCTGTTAAATATCTGATTATAGTAATAAGCAGGCAGACTGGTGTAACATGTTTTCTCTAGTGAGCTTGTGGTGAGGGAAAAATATTATTGTCTGACTTTATTTAATTATATTAATACTGACATACGCAATTTAAAGACCATTTTGATTTATGACATTTACTGCTAAATGGAAATTTTGTAACCCCGGTGTGTGTTTTATTTTTAATCTTGCAAACTGAGATCAAATCCAGAGCGATAGCGGTTGAGCTGACTTCCGGTATGTTCACGGAAAAGCCCTGTCAAGTGTAACTACTTCCGCCTTTAGCCGCCTCTCATCACACAGAGCAATGGTAAGAGAAATTACACATATGTGCTGATAACCTGACGCAGTTTAACAATTGCAGATGTCAGATATAATCGATATTAGGTCGATACAGCTCCTCGACTTACAGAGCATCCATGTAGGACGGCGCAGCTCGGTTTATATCAAGTATCACCAGGACTAGCTAAGGAGGCAGTTAGCCAGCAGGCTAACGTTAGCTAAAAGAGCTAAAAGAGAAAACATCCCAGATACTGGCATAGAAACCTGCTTCGTCGCGGTGCATTTCCATGGTGATAGAATGTGACTGTTGGTTTAAGTTACGGAGTGTGTTGCCAGGTAACGTAGACGAACGAACTAACGTTACAATGATAAACACATCTGTGAGCTAGCTGACTGTGTAACCAGCTGATGGTGAAAATACATCAGTGTGATACACCTGGTGATGTTTGACCGTCTCCAGCTACTTTGTCCCTCACTTTAAAAATATTTTAATTAAATTATCATTTGCTTAAATGGGTGAACACTTTGAAAACTGTTTCCTGTCAGTGTCAACACCAGCTAGTGGAGTAGCTCAGTCTTTAGCAGGTAACAGCTGTTCAGATGATGTGATGCAGCTGCATTTTCAACATGCTTATATTGGTCACCACTTTTTGAAACTGCACCTGCATTTCACAACAGCATGTGGGTTATGTTCTCAAACAAAGATATGTAAATGCAGCATTTTATTGTTGATAAATAATGAAGTTGAGACAGTGTTTCTTATACTTAAGTGTTTGGCATCTCTGTTGTAATTTCATGCCACATACTGGCCAACATATAACAATAACAGTACCCTATATCTAATTAGTATTGTTGGCTGATAATATCGACTATTGATTTCCCAGTCGAGCTCTGTTCTGGAGCTTTTAGGAAAATATCCCCGAGCAGTACATGTCCTCCTTCAGCACAGTGTTGTGTCAGTGTCAACACTGTGTCTTAAGTTGAAGGACACTGTTCAGTTTTGCAGTAATAGTATCAGTGTGTACTTTGGCGTGGTGTCCTGATGTTTTGGCTCTGAGGAAACAACTAAGCAATATTGTGTTGGTGTTTTTTTTTCAGAGAGAAAAAAGAGAAAAATAGAAGTAGTTCAATGTGTAACTAATGTGATGTGATTAAGTGCAGTGGTGGACAGAGTACCACATAGGTTATAGTTAAAAATGTAAAAGTAAATTGTAGGTTATTTCTATCAATGTCTGTAACATTTACTGTTCTTTAACATCATAATTTTGCATAAGTCTTGGTGTAAAGGTAGACTTTATTTAGGTCTTAAGATAATGTCCACAATTATGAACATGTTTTCTCTTAGTTTTTCTGAATTTCGCCCAGGGCAATATTTTTGATGGAACTTTATTTCTTTAGAAAATGCACAGATATATTCAGTCTGTATAAAATGATTTTAAGACATTTGTATTTGGCAGAATTTTAGTGATGTTTTTAGGTGGCATTAATGTGATAATGTGATGGATAATGTATGAACCAGAGGCCCAGTCTAGGTCGAGACTTAAGACTTAGACTTAGACTTAGACTTGCTTTATTGTTTTATTCAACAAATACACCATTGGTGCACATATTAAACAAGATTTCGTTACTTTGGCTCCTGAGTAGACGCATAAATTATGTAACATACAATAAAATAAATTATAAAACACTGGTATGACTTAAAATAAGTTAAAATTTCAAATAATTAAAATTAAAATTACAGTGCATCACAGGCAGTCAGTGCTCTTATTCTGTAGATGTCAGATGAAGTGAGACCAGGGAGAAATGTGTCTCAGGTGCGCCTGCCCGTAGTTTCAGGCATTGTTCTTTAGGAATGATTCTCATCTACTCTCTTCTTGCCTCTTCTCCCTCAGACGGCAACCTTGCGCCCATACCTCAATGCGGTGCGTGCTACCCTGCAGGCCGCCCTCTGCCTGGAGAATTTCTCCTCACAAGTGGTGGAAAGACACAACAAACCAGAGGTGGAAGTACGGTGAGTCTGTCGCTTAGATTGTTAGATTTAAATTTGACCGGTGTGTATAATCTGAGTGCCACCTCTTAGTTCCTGTGGAGAGAAAATGAACTGTGTGTATTTCTCCCACTTACAGGAGCAGTAAAGAGCTGCTCCTCCAGCCTGTGATCATCAGCCGTAACGAAAAGGAGAAAGTCCTGATTGAGGGCTCCATCAACTCTGTCAGAGTCAGCATCGCTGTCAAGCAGGTCAGTCGGTCAGGCTGCTGTCTGGCTTCCAGTTGCTAAACTAAGCAATTAGTGATACATTTTGTTGATGTGAATATCGGAAATGTGTCTGTAACCCTGACCATAAATATTCTGCTGCTGCAGGCAGATGAGATTGAGAAGATTCTGTGCCATAAATTCATGCGCTTCATGATGATGAGAGCGGAGAACTTCTTCATCCTGAGGAGGAAACCAGTGGAGGTAAGTGGGCGTTGAAAGTGGGTCAGTCACAGTTACAGGATTCCCACACACACTCCAACAGTTGGAAAAATGCTTAAAATAGACGGATAGGCAACAAGTTGTCCTGTAAAAGGTAATATGGAACAAAAATGAAAATGATTTTGTTATGTGAACTGTTGCAAACATTCTAAAACAGTGGGTGGGTTGCGGCCCAAAAGTGGGTTGCAAGTGACTCGCCAACATGTCAAGTTTGTAAAAAACACACATTATTTTGAAGTACAGTGAATTTCCGCAACAGAGATTTTATTTTGATGTGCCTTTTGCTCTTGTAGACTTGTAGACTTGAATAATGGACAGCTACTTAACACATACAGCAAACTAGTTTGACAACATGGTCAAATCAAGTATGACGCTGAATATATAAAACTGTGTGTGGACCTTGAACTAATGACTGAGGAGAAATCTGGACCTCGTGGCTGAACCACTGTTCTAAAACATGACAAATTAGTCTACTTGATGTAGTCGTGGATGAGGTAAAGGTATGCAGGAGTTAGGTTTTGTCATGCCCTTAATGGCCTTGAATAGTTGGAGCTCTTGAACGTACCTTAAATGTCCCAGTCCGTAGAGACAGCAGTAACTAAACAGTGTTGTTCTTTTTTTAAACATCAAATGGCGGTTGCCATTTTAAGCCACAAATGTTTTCCACAAATACAATTCGTTGGGCTCAGTAGGAACCTTGATCTCACATTAGTGTCAGTTATTTATGTTTAAAGATAAAAACACTCTCTTGTCATCCGTCTTTGTTTCCCAGGGCTATGACATCAGTTTTCTCATCACCAACTTCCACACGGAGCAGATGTATAAACACAAACTGGTGGACTTTGTCATTCATTTCATGGAGGAAATCGACAAGGAGATCAGTGAAATGAAGCTGTCCGTCAACGCCAGGGCTCGTATCGTCGCCGAGGAGTTCCTCAAAAATGTAAGTTGTAGTTTTTCTGCATCACGCGTTTGACAAGTGGGTTTAGTTTTTGTATTATTTTAACATTAGCTCGTCTATGAGATTTCTGTGGTAGGTCTTTGATTCAGTCAAGTTTTATGCTGTTTATAAGATTAAAGTTATATTATTAATAGGGATGAAGTAATATAATTCATCTTTGTCTTTTTAGAGTTACTGTGGCTTACATATTCTTTTTCTTTTGCAGTTCTGAGAAAGAAAACCCAGGAAGACATTCCTTTTGCAATCTTGGCCGTCACTGTGGAGCTTTCACATCACAGAGCAGAGAGGAGACAAACTTTTATCAGCCAAGAGAAGTCGAGAAACATAAGACGTGCAGGCCAGTGCGGTTTTGCCCTTTAACCTTAAAATTCCCCTTTGCTCAGAAATATTGATTTTTGTACATAATGAATATTCACACCAGACATTACTTTCTGCCTGTAGAACATTAGACGTCAGGGCAGGTCCTTAAAAAAGGTATATATGATCAATATTTATGAGCACAGGGTAATATGGATTTTTAAAATAATTTAAATGTTCTTTTGTTTTTGTTTTTTTTTAAATATATATATTATATGCACATTTAATTTAGCTTGTTTTGTTATGACAGACCTTAGACCACGAGGGCAATCAACAATTGGTGCACATTTCTTGTAGTAGTCCACAGAATGAACCCTATTGTATGTGCAAATAAGTAAAATAAATATACTTGCTTAAAGATAAATAAAAACATTATTCTTTGTATTTCAGTGATTTATTTTTTATATTTGTTGTGGTGTTTTGAAACACAACCAGCAGCTCTGTCTTTACCCCAAACATTGAGATTGTGACAGCTGGAGACAAACAAGGCATTTGGAATCATATTTTCAGCACAGTAATGTACAGTATCAAATGTATAATATTACAGAAAATGTACAGAGGTCTCCAAAAACTGATATACCATAAAATACATGTAGATTCACACACACACACACACACACACATACACACATACACATATATTTTACATCAAACACACATGCGTGTACAGTTTGGACGGTACCTTTAAACTGAGGCATTAATTTCAACAATAAAATCACAGGTCAATCAAAGGCTGCCTTCTTCAGTGACATACTAATGACTGGAGATTTGTCACAGCATTTCACTGTCCATCCCAAAAATTCTTTTTGGTTTAAACATTATAATAGTAGCAGAGGAAAGGTCTGATCCCAAGAGTTCAGGTTACAGAACAGAAGCTACATCTGTGTCAGGTATATTTACAATCTCATTTCCATCCTTTATGGTGAAAGGATTTTATTATCACCTCTGAAATGGTTTAAGATTTATATTAATCTTTGTTTACTCAGAGTAGATACACTGTACGGACACCCTGAGAGGCAACTGAGGAAGAACAATTCTGGTGATCCTTTTCCCTAAATCTAAATAGTTTTCTCTCCTGTTTATATTTTTTTGTTTGTAGTTGTAATACTAATTTTGGCCACAAGAGGCTGAAGTGCACCACAACCACATGCTCTACATAGGACAAGTTCTGTAACATTACTGTCGTTTCTTCTTTTGGCGCAGACTAAATCACACAATCTTCACCTTGTTAAGCAAAATAAAAATGTAAATAAACATTATTTCTAGCCGAAAGAAAAACAAATGAGAGCAGTGTTAAATAACTTATTAACACACAATATATGAACCTCGTGTTTAGGGTGCATGGAGAAATTAAAACTCACCTGGGAGAACTCACGAATGCTTTGTCATTTTAAAAATGGGGCAGTCATGACAAAATGAGTTTTAGAACAACACTTGACAAAAAATAAATAAAAAATTCACAACAAAATTGATCCAGGCAAAACTCTTTTCCACTTGTTGCTCAAATTATCTTAATTTTAAAAAGACTATCTTGCATTTTTAGGACATTTTTTTCCACCTGTTCTTGAGTCATTAACACAGGAAAGAAAACCGTGTAGGTCAGACTTAAAAAATGTATCACCAGAATTCTTTGCTCACTTGCCTCTCAGGGCCTCCGTAACACAGTGGCTGCCTTTTTAATATAATCCAACAACTAGCAAAGAAAAACACAGTTTTTAAAAAAATAAAAAGTTCATTTGCGTTTCTGCTCACCAGTCAGGGAATTACGACTTTTATCATTTTAACTGAAGTAGTCTTTTCTTTAGAATCTTCACAGTTTTTTAGTGTCACGGTACTCGTTTTTCAAACAGTTAAAACGTCTTCAGAAACACTGGAAGCATATGGCAGTATACACGGTGCACAACACACAGTAGATATTAAATATCATCATGGAGGAAAAGGTGCTGAAATGTAAGGGAATATTATTGCAACAGCAGACCCACATATGAAAAAAATATTGGCATTTTCCTTTCGTCGTCCTCAGTTGGAGCTGAGCTAGAGTAACAGTTCAGTGAAGTTCACAACAGAACAGATTACATATAAAAATGACGTTCAGTGAAAGTGCTTTACAGTTTGAGTCTGGGTGGTTGAACAGCACCGCTGCCATTATGCAGTTCAGAAGTCCGAGCAGAAAGTCGGACGAGGTCTCGGCTGGAACGGGGAGTGCAGGAGGTTAGAGGTGAGCTGGGACTGTCTGCAGAGCGTCTTCTGTGGTGCGCTGCACGTTGACATTCTGAAACAGTGAGGAGAGGAAATGACTGGGTTATAAAAATTACTTATCCGACATTCACAGATTGACTTTAATTCATTGAATATGCCCTTGATACTCAACAGTGAAATGACTCATGCAATTAGTTCAATGAAGGTTGAATTAATGCTTTCAGCCGGTGTTAATAAACATATGAATGGACCTTGTGAGTGATGTTACAGTGGTTTTTAAATGACAGTTTTTGCCATAAAATAAATCTGTTGAAGGTGGATTTCTAAAGACTTGAATCACTTATGGTTCAGAGTTCTTTACTGCCACTGAACAGTCTAGATGACTCATATCAAACAAGACTTGAGAGGTAATACAGAAGTCAGTATTTTACTGTAAATGACTATTCATACATTACTTATTGCTTTATTCAGACAAAACATCCACTCTGACATGTGACGCACACACAACTGTACTTATACACACATTATACTCATTGATCACTGATGTATTCACCAGAAAAAAAAGTAACAGGAGAGAGATGATTTTTCCAATTTGAATTTTTATATTTGCAATAGCTTTCACAAACACCAAAAATCTGAAAAAGTACATTTGATGTACATACACGTGTGTAAGTGATGATTTTATAATTGTGTTCTATATATATATTATATATTGAAATTTTAGGCAGGATTTTGTTGGGTGTTACTGATTAACCCTTCACATTTAAACATTAACAAGTGTTAACATAGAGACATTAGCTTTAAAAAACAATTACTCATATGAAAATAATATCGTGCCTCATTTGCAGTAAAAATATATGATGAGGTTAAATGTATGTTTTACTCGTACACATAAAAATAGTTAACATGTTAAGACAATTGGAATAATATTAATTATGTAAAAAACAAAGTTACATCCTACATGTGTGACTGAAGACAGATAAAAACAATGTTAATGAAATGTGCTTGTCGTCATGTTCTCTCCTTCATCATATTTATTCCACCACACACACACATTTGTACTTCCATACTTGTGAGGAACTTTATTTACCCTAACTGAATTTAAGCTTAATTCAAACCTGCCCAAACATTCTCACCCCCAAGGTCTGTTAAATCACACTGGTCCTCACAAATGTACAAGTACACAAACACACACAGCTGACTGATTTGTCCTAAAACTCCAATTATGTTATGTAGTTCCAATAAAAATGTACAACTGAGTAAAATGCATTGGCCCTGAGAACTCGACCCACTGCAACAAGTCAAAACACAAGCAAAAGGAGAACAGGTCTTCACCACTGACAGAATATGATGCATTCAAGAAAAAAAAGTACATGAGTTTATTTTCATTAAATGAACTTTACATATTATTATTACTATGGTCATTATAGTTTTAACTAATTTCCATTGTGTTCTGTGTGGTCTGCAGAGCTCCAGTAATTGGTTTTGTTGTCTTACACTTTCTTCTTTAAGCTGCAGTGCACTAAGCTCTCAGGGCCTATGTAGGAAATGACTTCACAAACATGACACAACTAAGACAAAAATGAAATGAGAACAAAAGGGCTGAGCGGATGGAGGTAGGGCTGTCATTGTTAAGTGATGGCACAGTTGTCTTGATTGCTGTCAGGGATCACAGGTTGGACGGAGACTGAACACGGCTTCCTCTGCCGTGTGTGACAGATTTACTTTCTCTGTGCAATAAGAAGAGAGGGACGCATCAGCACTGACTGCCACAGCTCCTTCAGCAGCAGGGAGATGCAGACTGAATTTGATGGCAGCTGGAATCAGCTGTGAAGCAGATTCATGTTGTCTACGTGGCCTGCTGAGAGACATAACAGTGTGCTGCCTGGGATACCTACCTCTGGTTTTTCTCTGTGTGTGTTCACAGAGTCCACGCCTAAATAGACAGACTCCACTTTACATCCTGAGAGGGAGGAAACATAACAAGGGAACAGTCAGAACAAGTGGAAATAAACTGTCAAGTTATCTTTGGTCATGATATGTAACCACCTAATGTGGCAAGGTTTCATTGGACTGCAAATAAAACTATTTTACAATAAAACATGAGACGGAGTCATTATTTATATTATTTATGAAATTATTCATTATTTTTATATCATACTTAACTATAATGTTGTTTTGAATTTTTATGACAGACTATACTATGACGTTTTTATGAATTCTTTTGACATACTATACTATGACTGTTTTTATGAATTTTTCGACATACTATACTGACATTTAAAAAAAAAAAAATCAACATACTATACTATGACCTTCTTTATGAAATTTTTCGACATACTATAGTATCACTTTTTTTTTTTTTTTAATTTTTCGACATACTATACTATGACATTTTTTATGAAAATTTTTGACATACTATACTATGACTTTAAAAAAAAAAATTGACATGCCATACTATCACATTTTTTTATGAAATTTTTCGACATACTATACTATGACCTTCTTTATGAAATTTTTCGACATGCTATACTATGGCATTTTTTTACTTATTTGACATACTATTCTATGACATTTCTATGAAATTTTTCGACATACTATACTATGACCTTCTTTATGAAATTTTTCGACATACTATACTATGGCATTTTTTTTTACTTATTTGACATACTATACTATGACATTTCTATGAAATGTTTCGACATACCTATGACCTTTATGAAACTGTTCAACATGCTATACTATGACATTTCTTATGACATTTTATGACTTTATTTATGAAATTTTTCGACATACTATACTATGACCTTTTTTTTAATGAAATTTTCCGACATACTATACTATGACATTTCTGTGATATTTATGACATTTTTTATGAAATTTTTTGACATACTCTATGACCTTTTCAATGAAATTTTTCAACATACTATGCTATGACATTTTTTAATGAATTTTTATGACAAACTATACTACGACATTTTTAATGAATTTTTTGACATACTATACTATGACATCTCTTGTGAAATTTTACGACTTTATTTATGAAATTTTTCGACATACAATACTATGACATTTTTAAAAAAACAAAAAATCAACATACTATACTATGACCTTCTTTATGAAATTTTTCGACATACTATAGTATGACTTCTTCTTTTTTTTTTTTTTTTTTGGACATACTATGCGATGACATTTTTATGAAATTTTTCGACATACTATACTTTGACATCTCTTATGAAATTTTATGACATTATTTATGAAATTTTTCGACATATACTATAACTTTTTTTTAAAAAGAAATCAACATACTGTACTATGACATCTCTTATGAAATTGTATGACTTTATGAAATTTTCCAACATACTATACTATGACATAAAAAAAAAACAACAAAAAAACCCGACATACTATACTGACATTTCCTATGAAATTTTATGACTTTATTTATGAAATTTTTCAACATACTATACTATGACATCTCTTATGAAATTTGATGACTTCATTTATGTAATTTTTCAACATACTATACTATGACATTTAAAAAAAAAAAATTCGACATACTATACTGACATTTAAAAAAAAATCGACATGCTATACTATGACTTTTTTAATGAAATTTTTCAACATACTATACTATGACCTTCTTTATGAAATTTTTCGACATACTATACTATGACATTTTTTAATGAAATTTTTCGACATACTATACTGACATTTCTTATGAAATTTTTGACATACTCTACTATGACCTTTTTAATGAAATTTTTCAACATACTATGCTATGACATTTTTTAATGAATGTTTATGACATACTATACTACGACATTTTTTTGACATACTATACTATATTTCTTATGAAATTTTTTGACATACTATACTATGACATTTTTTATGAAATTTTTCGACATACTATACTGACATTTTTTAAAAAAAGAATTTTTTGACATACTATACTATGACCTTCTTTATGAAATTTTTCGACATACTATACTATGACTTTTTTTTTGTTTGCAATTTTTCTACATACTATGCGATGACATTTTTTATGAAATTTTTCGACAAACTATACTATATTATGACCTTCTTTATGAAATTTGTTGACATACTATACCATGACTTTTTTAATTTTTCGACATACTATGACATTTTTTATGAAATTTTTCGACATACTGTCCTATGACATCTCTTATGAAATTTTATGACATACTATACTATGACATTTTTTATGAAATTTTTCGACATACTATACTATGACCTTCTTTATGAAATTTTTCGACATACTATACTACGACATTTCTTATGAAATTTTATGACTTCATGAAATTTTTCGACATACTATACTATGACCTTTTTTTCATGAAATTTTTCGACATACTATACTATGACATTTCTTATGAAATTTTATGACTTTATGAAATTTTTCGACATACTATACTGGCCCTTTTTTTATGAAATTTTCCGACATACTATACTATGACATTTCTGTGATATTTATGACATTTTTAATGAAATTTTTCGACATACTATGCTATGACATTTTTTTATGAATTTTTATGACATACTATACTACATTTTTAATGAATTTTCTTGACATACTAAACTATATTTCTTATGAAATTTTTCGACATACTATACTATGACTTTTTTTAATGAAATTTTTCGACATACTAAACTATGACATCTCTTATGAAATTTTATGACTTTATTTATGAAATTTTTAGACATACTATACTATGACATTTCTTATGAAATTTTATGACATTTTTTAATGGGATTTTTCGACATACTCTACTATGACCTTTTTAATGAAATTTTTCGACATACTATGACATTTGACATACTGTACTATGACATATCTTATGACATTTTTCGACATACTATACTATGACATTTTTATGAAATTTTTGACATAATATACTATGATATTTCTTATGAAATTTTTTGACATACTATACTATACTATACTATGACATTTTTTATGATTTTTTTTGATATATTATGCTATGACTGTTTTTATGAATTTTTCGACATACTATACTATTTTTCTTATGAAATTTTTCGACATACTATACTATGACAATTTTTAAGAATTTTTTTTTACATCAAATCAAATAAAACTTTATTTGTATAGCACTTTTCATGCATTAAAAATTCAGCACAAAGTGCTTCACAGAATAGAAACATACAACAAAAATATTACATACATACTGAAAACCCGCCCCTCCCACCCCCACATATAAACACACTCACACACACACACACACACACACACACACGGTCAATATAGTCAATAACATGGCTGGGCACTGAGGAACCAGGTGAGGAAAGGACCACCTATGGGGAGCTCACCCACACTGAGAGGTGTCACAGCCTACGGCCATAGGGAGCGCCGCCACAGAGACCACCTGGGGTGGACTCCACACATGGTGCAGAGCCCCCCCAGTCCTCCGGACCTGAGGGATCTCCAGGACGACGTCCCCGCGGGCAGACCGGGCACACCTCTCAGCGTGGAGGCCCCCATGAGGAAACACTGGAACTAAAAACTAAAAAACTAAAAGGCAATATGATAAGATAAAACAAGTATCAGATAAAATAATAAATAAATAAATAAATGAAGATTTAGAAACTTAATAATAATAATAATAATAATAATAATAATGCATAAAAATTTAAAAATAAATCATTTAAATGCATTAGAAATTAAAATAACATATAATGTAAGAATCAAAAGAGTAAAATAAATCAGTTAAAAGCCAAACTAAAAAGGTGAGTCTTAAGCCTCCTTTTAAAAACATCAACAGTCTCAGCAGTCCTGAAGCTCTCCGGCAGGCATTTCCACAAGTGAGGGCCATAATGGCTGGATGCAGCCTCCCTGTGGGTTTTTGTTCTAACTTTTGGAACAGTTAAAAGGCCGGTGCTGGAGGACCTCAGGATCTGCGAGGGTTGATATAATAAAAGCAGGTCAGATAAATAAGATGGCCCAAGACTGTTAAGACATTTAAAAACTAATAAAAGAACCTCAAAATCGATCCTGAAACACACGGGGAACCAATGCAGCGATTTTAAAGCCTTTGGAAACACAGCTTGAAATAGTAAAAATGCATATATTATATCAAAGTCGAGTGTCTCATTAATCATTCACAAAAGTCTGAGTGAAAATAACCATTAATAACTATTAGAAAACCTGGTTTAAAAACAGCTCATTTTGCTGTTTAGACCACTTGCCAGGACAGAGTGGGCGTGGCAGATAACGCTCTGATTGACATCTCCCTGGCTCAGCAATGGCTGCCACAAATTTAATCCAGCCGTACATGTTTGAGCCCTCTGATGATTCAGAGGACGAAGCAGAAGCTGAAAATTATTCCTTTCAGGTGGTCACTGAATGGTAAGTTTCAAAATGTTTCGTGATTCATATTAATGTTACTTCGTAGAACGTACAGCGTAGCGTCGCGGTGTATTCATTTGTGCTCCACTGACTACGTACGGAAGGGACACGTAGAGAAACCAGCGGGGTTGTTTACCGTTTGCTGAGCCAAGAGGCTGCATGTAGGCTGCATGAAATGTTAAAGCATTTTCCACCTAAGTTATTACATATATTTGAGTTATCTACAAGTTTACTGTACTGTTTGTCATCTACTCGCTTTCAAATGTCCGCCACGGACACAGTGTCATGGATAAACAATAGAAGAGCCCCGTAAAATAGAGTTGTCGTGCCGCTCTCGTTGCCAGTGGAGCCGCTGTAATTGATTAACAGGGGGGCGAGCTGCTACAGGACTCGCGCTGCAGACGTGCCCGGTTGAGCCCGGCCGTTAGCTGAGATGAATGACAACGGGAGGCTAGCGCTTTGCCTTTCTTCATTGAGATAGGTTTTCATTGAAAACATAAATCTGCTCCGTTTTTCTGATAATAGCCTTTTTTATTCAAACACATCCAGTCTTAATAGATTAAATATGTCTTTACTCT